TTACCCCTCGAGGGTGCCTCAAAAGTTTACTACTAGTTTCCACTTTAAACCCCCTGGTTACCCTACCCTCAAGGGGTAATACTTACGCTTTGGACGTAGTACTATCCAATCGAGAACAAAAGCTACGTTAAGGGAAAACTCTTCTTTAGATAGCCCCAGGCATTAAGAGTGAGGCGCGAGGGTGTATTGAATGTACCCCGAGGCTGGCGGAAACGAAGTGAGAGATTTGCATTGCTTAGCGAAGAGATCGAAAATTGACGTTCATCGATATTCTTTCGCATCTCCTCGCAAAGTTTTCGTGTATAGGTCGATCTCTTTTAAGGTACCCTTACACATCTATACTCAATAACGAAGTTGGGTATTAATCAATGTCGAGGGTATAAGTGAAGGGTAAAAAGTGACGAAGTGTATAAAGTAATATTTACAAAGTGAATCGTATATTCGTGAAGTTCGGAAATTGCAAATAAGACTCTGAAGGAGCCTTATATGCTGATGCCAAGGGCTGTACGCCCAGCGTACAAGTGCCCTAGACATGTAATCTAAAGGTCTGAATGATATCCCAACAAAAATAGCGCAGCTCACTGCGCTAGACCCTAGAAATTGCCCTCAATATGCGGACGGGGGACTCTTACACGTGGGATATTTTGGTAATGGCTTGCTCTTATAAGTCTTATAAGAGGCCAACGGACATCCGCTCGCTGGGAAATTACATGAGCTGCTGTTCGGCTTACCGCCCGTGATTTTGACGTCCTCAAACACAAAATTCTTGCAGCCCGTGCCGCATAGCACGTAGTAACTGATACCATCGCTGGTTACCGTGCCCGTGATGTTCTTGAACAGCACGTTCTCGATGATGACGCCATTGGAAGGCGTGCCAGTCGGTCCGCCGTTCAAGTAGTCCTGCTGCACGACGATGCCGTAATCGGAGATGTTAAACATCTGGATATTGGAGTAGGTGATGTTAGCGACGTAGCCGGTCGTGTTGAAGTTGCTTTTGATGCGGGCGCCGTTGGTTGAGTTGCGGAGGTAGCTGTCCGTGAACTACGTGTTTTGTAAGTAAGTTTAACGTTTGGAAAGGAGTTGAACGAGACTAACGAGAATGTTGGTGACATTATTATAAGATTTTCCTCCGATAGAACCAATGCTCAATCCGTGGGTGCCCGAGCAGTAAAGGTTTGAGACAGTGACGTTGTCCGCGGATGTGACAGCAACACAGTCATCTTGGTTGTACACGGTGCAATTATGAATTAAAATATTTTTGCTTTTAGTGCCGACACCAAAAGCATCCGAGTTATGGGCGGCGTTCTTGCCCCCACTGAGGTCGTTGGGGAGATCTCCGAGTGTGTTGTCCAAGTAGATGTTGCGAATCGTGACGTCTCTTGAGTTACCAAGTTTAAATGCCCGAACCGGCCAGTTCTGGAGCTGCAGGTTCTCGATGAGCGAATCATTCATCTTGACTGCGATGAGATGATTTGGTCTTTAATGTCAGTAGTGATGACGGAGGATTGGCACTGGGAGCTCTCACTTGGGTAAACCTCCGTTCGACCCCAATCCATCCCAATACATTGGTCCGTTTCCATCGATGATTGAGTCCGGAGTACCTCTGATAGTAATATTCTTTCCGCCGAACTTCATAGGGATGAAGTCGCTCGAATTGGTAAACGCGAAAGTTGTCGTGCCAGCGAATGTAATCACGGAGCCCTTCTTCGCCTTGGAAAGATCGATTGTTCCGTTGGACGGCGCTGCAATGTCTTGAAGCACAATATCCGTGCATTTTGCTAGAGCCCCAGGAATCTTAGAATACTCCGTCACAACACATGTACATGCAAGAACCGTGCTTGCATATGCACAAGCCAACGCGAAGAAAAGAGTGGAATGCATCTTGGCGACAAGATGTTATAAGAGAGCGACGATGCTTGGTTTCATGAAAAGATCAGAGGACAAGAGATGTTTGCAGACCGTCCAAGCATGGACTGTGGTCTTTATAATGCCCAATTTAGTTCGTAGAGCCATCTCTTTCCGGCTAGACTCTAAATACCCTTCTGATTCGTCTCATGTTGAAGACTTCGTTTCAGATCAAATGCAGATAATGGATTATAGGGTACGGACCAGATAGTGGCCACTCCCGATTGCTAGTAGTGGGGTTGTCGTGCTTAATTAATACAATAGAGGGGTCATTCGTTGTTCGTGAAGTTTAATGCCTTCAACCCGTTATTCGTTATTCGTTAAACACGTGACTGGAATAGTATCAGACTAGCCCCCGGCTACTTAACAAGAAGCTTCCCGGGCGAAAGATTAAAAAGATTAGCAAGTACTCGAGTCTCAGCTCGAGTTTCAGCGTTACTACTAGTATCCTTCATCCTAAATAAGAGACGAAAAGTATATTTTACTAGGGGTCTACCAGGGGGTTGTAACCCCAACGCTTGGAAACGTTTATTCGCAATTGATCAATAACGCCTCGTTACTACCCCCTATGAATACTACTCTCCCCCCCCATGAATAAATGTCGGACCCAGTTTAGGCCCATAAAACATAGAGCGGTGGTTTCTTAATGGCTCAAAGCCCTGTCAACTCCACTGTATAGACTAAATACTGGCTCAAAGATACTTTTCAAAGCTGAATCCTTATACTACGTCGCAGGCGTAAGTATTACTCCTCGAGGGTAGGGTAACCGGGGGTTTTAAAATGGAAACTAAACTTTTGAAGCACCCTCGAGGGGTAATACTTAGGCCTGTACCGTGGTAATTTGATTGGTTTAAGCCCTGGTAAGATCTCTTGCGAAATTATACTTTCGACATTTATTCATGGGGGGGGGGGAAAGTACTACTACTACGTATATATGGAAAGTATAACTTTGCTAGGGCTCTTACCAAGACTTAAACCCAGTCTTGAAATGTACTACTACTACTACGTACTTACCACTTACAAGTATCGTTGAGCCAGTATTTCATACATGTAGTACTATCTTCTCCTGTGAATAAATGTCGGACCCAGTTTAGCCCTATAAATCGTAAAGCGGTGGTTTCTGAATGGCTTAAAGCCTTATCAACTTTATTGCACAGATCAAATAGTAGTACTTGCCCGAAGATGATTTTCAGGGCTGAATCTTTATACTACGTAAGTTGATTGGTTCAAACCTTAATAAAAGCCCCTGCGAGATTATACTTTCTCTAATTATTCATAGGGGGAGTAGAGTTGACCGGGCTTTGAGGCATTCGAAAATCAACGCTCGACGACTTAGTACTGTACTGTAGTAAGTGCTACTACGTACGTACTTGTATGAGGCCGAACTGGGTCTGATAAACATGCAGAGGGGAAATAATAATATTCCAAAACTACTATGACCTACAACGATCGATCGACAAACGATCAATATGTCCGATAAATGATATTAACTGATAAAGTACGTCATTACGGTATCAGAACGACGTTTTGAAAGAAGTTTTCAACTGCCTACGAAGAGAGAAGAGATTACGGTATAAGTTGCGAAGGAAGAAATGGAGAAAGGTGTCCTTGAAAGGTCTGTGCGCACCCCTTGTTTTCTCGGCTGTCCTATCCCGAATTGCCGGGTCAGTCCTCTTACGGGGCGGAGGTACAAGCTTTAAAGTTCTCCACCGCCCAATTCTGCCAGCTAATCCAAAAATTCGTTTAAGTCAGAGGATCTATTGGCTGACAGGATTGGGCGGTGATAAACTTCAACGCCCGTACCTCCATATATAGTTGCACTAGTACTAGTATATCCGAGTTGTAGTACGTACTAGTAGTAGTAGATGGACTTCGAAACTACGGAGGTGCTAGGGGTGGGTTACTAGTAGATCACCGCCTTCGATGGCAAGGGGATCGGGCAAGGGGATTTTTGATAATGAAATATTCTATTACAGATTCTGATATGTGAAGCACTGCTATGTGAAGCACTGCTATGTAAAGCACTGTTATATAAAGCACTGCTATGCAAAGCAGCTATGTAAAGCAGCTAGTATGTAAAGCAGCTATGTAAAGCAGGGGTAAAGGCGCTGACGTACAGTAACTTAACCTTAGCACCTCCGTATGCTAAAGCTGATTAAAAGTCGAATACTACTACTGTACGTACTACGTCGCAGGCGTAAGTATTACCCCTCGAGGGTAGGGAAAACAGGGGTTTTAAAGTGGAAACTAAACTTTTAAGGTACCCTCGAGGGGTAATACTTAGGCCTGTACCGTGGTACGTAAGTAGTGCGTGGATCTTGTAAAGTCAACAGCCCCACGCGCTATTCTACTAGAAGGTTTATACGGCAACCGATAAACGATGAAGCCGATAGACGTAGTACTACTACGTAGTAGATACGTAGTAAGATCGTAAAGGTATAGCCCGATTAAGCTAGTTTCTATAGTGGATCAGGACAAAGGGAATTATATAACCGCTACAAAGGTGCTGGAGGTAAGTTAGGTCACTGCCTTCGTTAGCAATGTGGTTGGGCAAGGTGATTCGTGATAGTGAAATATTCTGACATCGATTCTGCTATGTAAAGCAGGCGTGAAGGCGGGGACCTACAACTAACTTACTCCCAGCACCTTCGTATACCTCCATAGTCTATACACCATTATCCAGGCCTAAGTGTTACAGCCCGAAGGAGCCTTCAAAGTCTAAATCTCCACTTTAAACCCCTTGATTATTCTACTACTACTTACTCTCAAGGTGTAACACTTCCGTACGCTTATGACATTATAGCGATCTAATTAATCAACCTTATCTTCTTTCCCTTATGATTACGTCCGTAGTAGTACATTATTTCGGCAAGGGCTCTTATTGAAGCTTAAACTAAGTAATAAACTTACTACGTATAACGATTGAGCCTTGAAAAGTATCTTTACGCAAGTATTTATTTTACTCCGTATGCGATCAAGTTGATCAGGCTTCAAGCCATTCAGAAACCACCGCTTTACGATCTATAGAGCTGAATTGGATCCGATATCTAGATATTAAGGGGGGGATCGAGAAGGAGATTAATTATCAGGCCCGTAATGCTCCGGTGCGAGTACGGAGTATACGGTAATCTGTGGCCATAGCGAGTAGGTGGGAGGGAGGCTCGCCGAGAGCAAGGGGCTCGAGGAATCGAGTTAAAGACTTTTGAAAAAGGTTTGAGAACACTTACTGTAACTTACTACTAGTAGTAGTACCAGTACTTAATACGTATGTTTATCTCCGGCGAATTTCGGATAAAAGTTTCGGCCCCTTTAACGGGCTTCAACTACGTACTACTAGTACGTAGTATGTTTATATTAGCAAGTTTACACCCGCTAGTTAAGTTTACATCCACTAGCCCGATTGGGAATAATAAGCGCAGATCGTCCTAGCGTTCGCCTCGGTGAAGTACTTGACTTTTCACTTCAAAGTTGGTGCAAGTACCTTACCGAAGAAGCAACGCTTCTAAGTCTCGTTTCTCAAACAGACGCTATTTAACGCAGGTCATTACATGAGTCAAGGTGATATGTTAAATAAATTACATGAGTCACGGTGATATGTTAAATAAATGAATGAGGCAACGACGAGGTCGAGTTATTGAATATCTAAGAGATTGGTTTAAACAAAGAAAAAAGTGTCCAAGTACGAAGATTCTCGCTTAATAATTTTAGCGCTCAGCTGACTCGAGGCGGGTGCTTGGACGATCGTGATGCAAATCGTACACACGGAGGGGGTACTAGGTATATTTGAGTATAAGGTTAGATTACGATGCAAATCGCTCGTGCGCGTGCGTATATTTGTCTAACGGGAGCATGCCTCGGGATGGCCTTCGTTATATCACGTGATATGTCATCTTGCGAGCTGGCTTATGTAAGCTCTCGAAAAGGAAATATGGCCGGTCGGCAACAGTTCTTTGCATTTTCATCGAATCCATCAGCAACTGTTCTTCCCGCATCTGCGACATTTGGCTTGGGAGGGCAGCCCGACTCCGGAGATGACATGGTTTATGAACGAATGAATCACACAGCCTTTTCAACTTTTGGTATCACCAACCCCGCCCGTCTTGCATACCTACTGATCGAACGTCGCTGTCTCTCCTGCCTTAGCCTCAGCCTTTCCCTCTGCCAGCTGGTCAACTCGAACCCCTTTCGAAGCGAAGTGGAGGAAGCCCTTGCACTGCTCGCTTTCCGGATCCAAGTCCAGATGCAGATATATGTATATGTATATATATATATATATATATGCATTTTCCATGGGACGTGGCGTGAGCAACTCACTGCCGGCATCTTTTGTCTCACACACGGCGGCAAGAATCCACCAATGAGAGCCAACCAACCGCCCGCGAGAAGGGTTTCATGGCACTGTTCACCGAGCTGGCAGCGTTCAGAGTTGACCACGCCGCAAGACCGTACTCTGCGTCTGCCTGGAGGCCCGTCTCACTCATTTCGCAGAAGACCAATCGCTCTTCGCGGTGGCTGGCAGACGGAGGGGCCGAGTGGTCTGCGATCCTGGCTCGGTCACTTTGTGCATCACCCCCACTGTCTGGGGCAAAAAGTAGGTAGGAGAGGTATAATACAAGTCGAAGGGCCATCCGTCACCATCTCTTGCGTGGAGAGCGAGCGAAGGCGAAGCATCCGCACTCGTCTGTACTCGTCTTTTACCGCTCTCCCCCCTTTCTCCTGTTTAAGTTACGCTTTCGCGAGCCCTTCTTTGCGCTTTTGCGCTGTCTGTTGATGCACTCCTCTCTGAAAATCGACGTACTGGGTATCCGCACCCAGCAGCACTCTTGGACGAAGAACGAACGATAACGGGCGTGGATAGAAGAATTACGCATGGTGATTGGTACCACCCTCTGGTGCCCTCGGTCGAATCGATGCCCTTCTCGACATGAGGGCGCTGTCTATTGTTTGTTTACTGTCAGCACCCAACAATGACAGAGAATTGTGCTCGGCTCAATAATATTTGTGCTGTCACAACTCGGCGCATCGTATTGTTGTATCGCAATCATGAATTTGGTTGTCGATCTGCTTTTGACCAATCGCCCATCCCATGCCTCGATTCAATCACTGGGCCTGGTCCAGGTAAGTCCTTCGAAGTTCGAAGTCCTGCTGGTGAGCACTTGAGTCTGGCAAGTCGCCAAGCTTTCTACTCCACAAGCTTCGCGTCCTTTCTGTGTCTTTCTCATCACTTTTTCGCTTCTATACTGTATCTCAATCACGTGTCCGTCGTTCTGCTTCTGCCCCTCCTAAGTACTTCTTTCTCAATTCAAATCCTCGACACAACAATCTACCACAACCACTGCACTTGCGCTGCTGCATTGCATCAACCCCGCCCTCGTCTCTCGTATCCTGCGCAATACATCAACGGTGTCCAATCCTCAGGACGTAAGTATCACGACCCCTCCCAAGTACGGAAGAACGTGACTTATGTCTGCCTAGCCTCAACTCCAACATGGCCTCGCCCCTTCAGCACGCTGGCCAAGCCCAGATCTTTTCTGCTCCCTCAGACAATGTCGATGCTCAGATCGAAGACAAGAACTCTCCTTCAACATTTCACAAAGCCATCGCTGAGGCCGCTCCCGCTGTGGCTGAGGACCCACACGATAGCGGATTTTTCGAAGTTGAAGACTCGGTCGCACCTGAAATGGCCTATAAAGATTTCACCCTCTATCCCGAGGACGATCGTTCTGAGATCGAAGTTCCCATATACGGAATGTTCGCAGACATCGACGCCGCTACTGGTCTAATTGAGGGTGATACTAGCCATAACAGCGGAGTCAAGTCCGACGACTACACTCTGACTCCACAACGCTCCGCTGAGGAGGGAGGTCCTTCTCTCAGCAACACACTCAGTGGTGGCATCATCGAGGGTGTGAATGAAGATGTGTACGAAGTCCTCGAGACCGATTACGAGATTTGCTTTCAACCTGGCTATTTCGCTCCCTCTCCTCCCGACGTTTCATCTCGGGACCCATTTGCGCGGTGGCTCGGCACCTACCACCGCCACGAGGAGAGTGCATATCTGCTAGAGCGGCCGCCATATCTTGCCCACAACTTGGAGAAGCAGTAGAAGCTTTTCCTTATCAAAAGCGACGCATTCTCACAACATTTTCACGACATTTTTACGCCAGTTTCACGACATTTTCACGACGCTCACACCCTACTTCTCACGATCGTTCGTTGGTTCTGTTTTCGTTATATCATTACGGGTTACGGCAGGGCTAGGACAACACGGGTCTGCGTCTGGGTATGGGTATGATAGGATTTATGCTACGAGGACCAGTCTCGCAGGATGGGCAGGTGGTAGGAATACTAGGGCTCTGAGCAGCGAAACAGGGTGGGCGTTATGGTGTTCGTTGTTCATAGCACAGGCAGAAAGAATAGTCTCCTCGTCTCATATCATGAGATCGCATATACCCACGAGCAGAATGGAAAGCTTCATCACACGCTATCTGGCACCGGCCGAATGGCAATCTTTTCGTTTGGCTATGCTTCTTCCAAGAAAGGTCAAGTATCGGGTAGACCGAGCTGGCTCCGGACGCGACACGATAATTTCTTGGTGTCAAGGGTCTGCCCACGCGTTTTTGGCATTTCACATCTCCCGCACGGAGGCTTCCAATGTATCCAATGTATTTTGCGTTTTGCAGACGTGCAACAGACCACTGCCCTCCCTCCATCTTTCTATCTTTCTATCTCGGTGCTTTCAAACTCCTCTGATCGGGCCGATGAAATTATGCGACTAGGAAGATCAGAGTTGTTCCTGGCGGGCTGGCGGGACTTCCCTTTTACCGATTACCGACCGCGTAATCTTCTGCACTGAAAGTCTACATCCTGCTAATCATAAACGTCGGACCTCCTCCTCATATACACGTTCTGATTGTGGACGTCCCACTTGAAACTTGGGGGAGAGAGAGGAGGAGTCCGGATGGTACTTCTCGTGCGCTCTTCTTCTGTTTATATAAAACAAGTGGTCGACGTTTCGAAAATCGTAGGTAAGGTAGGTAGATGGATGAGTGATGCAAGGCCTTTCCCCCCCCCTCCCCCGCCCCCACCAAAACTAAGCGGTAGGAAAAAGCATGGACGCGCGGGGCGGGACTGATTACTGTATAGCAGAGGGTGATAAGTAGTTAACACAAGACTTATGGGAGAATCCTTCCCGCTCGCACGGAGGAAATTAATATATTAAACCAATCTGAGACGTGCAACAAAAGATTTTTCGGTGGTCCGCTTTCTGGTTTGTAATTGGTCTGTCGATGGATCCGATGATGAGCGCGGCGGCGTTAGCACCGTGCTGGGATTTCTTATTTGGTATAATCTGCCAGGTGCTTCTCCAGCCTGCGTTGCTGTTGAATTCTGGATGGGTTCTGGAAGGGAGAGGGCAATCGCTTATTGATGATGATGATGATGATGGTGATGATTACGCGTTCATTCTTGGTGCTAGACTTCGTTATTGTTGGTATCACATAGGGTGTGCACACCGGGTTGAGACCTGATAACGAATGCTATTCTGGAGTATTCGTTGGTGTTGTTAAGTCTAAGGAGAAATAGCTATTCTATGTGAGTGGGAAGTGGTAGGTAGTAGTACCGGTAGTAGTGGTGCCAAGGCTGCACGTGCCACTAACCCCGATCCCGAGTCCTTAACTCCGATCCCTCTATTCCTCTAGTCCAGCGTTCCCACGGTTATTCTTGGTATCCTTCAAGACCGAAGAAACCTCTTCTCCTTAAGAGCAAATGCAAGACGAAATCGTCATCTGTTAATCTAACTTCCTGATTTGGAGCGAGTAATTCCTTGAGACTCCCAACTTCTCTTTACCCATCCTTCCACTCGAATACTGACTGTGTTGATATCGAACTTTGATGGCATCGACGAAGCTGGTTGGTGTTTTGTTAGGGATCAATTTCGTCATCGCGTCTGCGCGCGTTGTTTTTGTCGCTATACCAGCGAACCTCGGCTAGTCCGCGGCGTTCGTATGACTGTCGGAGAGCCATACTATCGATCATTGACCGTTTCTGTTGGTTGTCCCTAGCTTGACACAGCACTCATATAAAGAGTACGAATCGGTACAGGACGATGACGTGGACCTCTGGGAGCTGAGGCTTCACGGTGATCGTCTCAAGCGTGGTTGCTACGCAGATGGCGATATCGATTCCTGATACCATTCCAGTTCGCCCGACTTTCTGAAGCCGTTGTGAAAATGAATCGGTGGTAGACGAAGGGTCTGATCGAACTTCTGTAGGCCTTCCGCATCCACAGAGTCATCTGCCTGACGATTCCTGCCTTGAGCAAATGGCTCGTCGCCGTAGATCTCTTCTTCTATTTTCACTACTAAAGCCCAACTCGATTCGTTGGTCCCCCCCCATCGAGAGATTGGAAGAAGTCTCGAGATCACCGTATGCGCAAATTCTGAGCAGCTCACTCCGTTTTCCAGCTTTCCATCCTCTAACACCGCAGAGTAGTTGTAGCTAAATCCGATCCAGCCACAAAGGTCCTGGTCATACCACCAAACTCCATATAAGTTCCCTGCTTGGTCGTGAAAGAGCCTGGCTATAATTCCTGTTGAACTTTGCAAAGGTAAACCGCCTTGTCCTTGCGACATTACCGCGTCTTTCGCGGAAGCGTTGGCTGCGGTCGCATTATCTGTAGGAGCTCCAGCCGTGGTGTTATCTTTGTTGCGGGGGTCGTGGCTTCGCCGTGGTCACTGACAACAGCACGATAGTTTCAGCCACGCTATTGCAACCACACGTATCAAATGCCATAGCACACCTTCGCCAAATAACAGAGCGTGCTAGTAGAGTACATTCATCTAAGCATTTTCCTCCAGGAGATAAAGGATCATCAACCATCTCAACACCCAAGGTCAACGTTCAGCTTTATAGAAGGTTCTCCATGCCATTCGTTGATTTACTAATAGACGCCGGATTGCTAATAGAATCAAATGCGTCGTAAGCAAACATAGTATTGTCTGAAACTCAACTTATATTCGTAGTTGCAGACTCGAAAGGTATACGAGAATGTAAGCTCACTTACAATTCATATGCAATTCTTAAAGAATCGTGCCTACTTCACGTTAATATATCAAGTCCACAAGCTAAAGCATAAAGCTATTCGTTTCGTTCGCGTAGCATAATGACTAGCAATAGTACCGGTCCATCGATCACTATACATAGATCAGGAACGCTATAGTACTAAGGCAAACTAAAGAACGCATATACTATAAGCAAGTGTTTTAAAAAGTGCATTGAGTCCACTTTGCTATCTAAACTAAGTCCGAAGTTTATCAATTTACTTTTCATTATTCGAACTCTTAACGATGAATCTTATCATATGAGCTAGCATTATATAATGCATAATATCGTCCCGGTGCCACACAATTAAAGGCACTAAAGCACTCGCTATGTCTGTCTTAGAAAATCTCATAAAAGTACGAATGAATAGAGCTGTATGCTAATTGTCTAAACTATTGCTACTTTATTAACAATACAACGACGAAAATCCCACTATAATGCGACTACTCATACTTTATGATATCCACTCTTACATGTCTTAAAGCGTAGTAAATGAAACATTGCGTATTACTTCCTACGACCGCTTTATTGCTATATCGGTCATCCGGACCATAGTAAACGAGTTTATAAAGTAACTTCTGCTAAATAAAAGCAACAAACAGAATGGTGCAATGCTGAATTTGTCTTTTGCAATAGTATGTTTCTTAGTTCGCTTCTCAATAGCCAAAAACAAATCTATAACCGATAAGCAACGAGCAAGAACCAAACGACTAAATACGATTTCCTTATTCGATGATAACATTGTATCAGACTCTGATCCTATATAACGAACGGGAAAAGCGAATTCAAAAAGTCCCACAAAGTCTTCAAGTGATTTGTTTATGGTGTAATTGTGCAGCACCAGCTATTTTAAAAACCCGAAGTGTCTCTCAAAACCAATGCGTTTCAGAGGATATAGCAGCCACGATTTAGCATTCTCATCTTCTCGTAGCCAAAAAGGCTTACTTTGCTGCGAGTCTACCTCTAGCCTTATCACGAAAACCAAAGACACTCTTTTAAGCAACTTGGGTGCGAAGCTTAAAGACATCTACCAAATCGACGACATTTGCTTTGCTGATAGTGATTCCCATGCGCCACTCCTTTTGTCCAATTAGTGCTCCTTTCTGACTCACCGAAAGCTTGGCAGTCATTTTGATGGAACAGGTGACATTAGCAAGGGCAGAATCACTATAGCGTGCAAAGAAGTCGGAGAATGACTTCCATAGTTCTTCAATGAGGTCTCCATCCTCTTCGCTGACAACAAAGATGTACTCCTTGTCTTCCTTTGCAGGATTGAAACCGCATCTGCTCCACTAATATTTGTCGTCTGAGGCAAGACCAGGATCCTCGAATGTCGGCTTGATTCCCTGGTTGAAAAGGTTTGTCTCGAGGGTCTCTACAAGCCAATTTAGGACTCCACAAAATACCCCAGTCTTGCCAAAGTTGTCGAATGTGTCGTGATGCAAAACCACGTCGGGTATGATTGTAGTTCTACCTGGGTTTTCTGCTGGTTGAGGGCTCTTCAGATGTATACGTTCCGTCAATCGCAATCGAAGCTCCTCTTTGCGGACACGCATGGCCACATCCCGGAATCTTTCTGTCAGGCTGCGTCCCTCTTTTTTTCCTTCTCCTTTAACGATAGTCTCTCTATCTCTCGTCGAAGCAACTGGATCTTCCTGGCCGAAGTTCTAGCTCCGTGTCTTGATCCTCCGGATTTCGTGGCGGTGTTTGCCGCAAGGTCTGGAGTCGCTGCTCTGTTTTGTTATACTCGGCTCCTCGTAGGAGTTGCTTGTTGGGAGTCGCTGCTCTGTCTCGTCAGGTTCGGCTCCTCATAGGAGTTGCTTGTTGGGAGTCGCTGCTCTGTCTCATCATATTCGGCTCCTCGTAGGAGTTGCTTGTTGGGAGTCGCTGCTCTGTCTCATCATATTCGGCTCCTCGTAGGAGTTGCTTGTTGGACCACGACTCCTCCCTTAGTAGATCTAGTCGTGATTCGCAGCCTCCGAAACCCTTGCGCGACTCCCATGTCCCTCCCTCCGCGCAATGGAAGCACCGATTCTGAGAATTGTCGGCGTCCTGTTAGGCACACCAAGAAGCTTACAGCACTTTGTCAATTCTGGATAATTGAGATACTTGAAAGCTAGGTGCAACTCTTCTTTCATAAAAGGGGGTCAAAAGATAACCCATGCCATATTGAAAGGAGGTGAGTAGATGTAACCTGGTCCGGAATTTTTGCCGCGATGGTTCGTTTGAGTGGCGTCTTCGACGACCGAACAAGTGCTGAATGCGAGGGTGGTATGGTTTCAATGTTATTAACCAGTCGATTTATATCTAGATGAGCGTTAGTCAATATCTGAATAAGAAGGGCAATGAAATAGATATACCGATGTCTGGGGAGTTGGGCGCACCCATTGCGGTAATGCTGCAAGCAATAGATATTACCCACCTTAGCAGTCGTCCTCTCGCTCATCCCCAAATCGCAGGATGTCTTTCTTTCACGGAGGAGTCCTTTGAGGAAGCTTCAAATGATACTGGTTAGCAAAGAGCGTTAAATCTCCTCCAGAGCTGTGAAGTGCTTACCCTTGATCTGTTGGTATGATACTAAAGGGCGTGCACACGTTAAGGCCTTTCGAATTTTCTGGTGGTTGGTTTAGTATTTCAACCTTGTACTAACAAAGGGAGGATAGATATAGAAGGCTATACCAACTGCCAAGCATCCCGTCGGGCTTATTCGCAACGGGGATTGCGATCCCATCATTCGGATTCATAACTGGGTCTATATATGGTGACCTCGTGCAACGCGTATGCAATGTATAAACAGCACACCATACTGGTATCCGAAACTGGAAGCGGCGGTTGCGGCTAGGATGGCCTGGTGTGTAAACGACTGGACGGACATTATGGTGGTTGGCGAGAACCAGTTGGCATCAGGTGGGTTGTTGAGGTATTGGAGACCTTATCAGTAATAATATCCAATTCCAGTCTATTGCTCGAGCAAACCGTGATCAAAAAGATGAGGATAGCGACAGTAATCATGAATTCCAAGGAACCCAAGGAATAGAGGCGATGCGGGTTTGTATCTTCCTTCCGACCCGGGAGATTTTGTTATCGGAAGAAAGACAAGTAGGTAATTTGGGTGAGGAAGAACGTATATATAGTGCCGAATCGCGGCTTTGTAGCTGTTTTACAATTCACCCAAAGCGACAATATCAGACTAAAGGCCACCAGCTGAAAGCGAACTCTAGAACATAGTGATTACATATAACCTATACTAGTATACCGTATTCTACTGTCTAATAATCTAAAGCGGAAGGATATAATCCCAAGCTTCGCTGTATCTGGTGAGGTTCATGAGATTAAAACAGGAGAGATGGGCCAGAAGCCTTCTTATACCCGCCACACGTGCTTTGCAATCAATTTCCAGTTTTCATCAAGTTAGGAAATATGGAAAAAACTCCAAGCAGTGCTGGTACAAGCAGATTGTTCCCGTTTCCCCTCAAAGGTATGATATCACAATATGTACAATCATCGATCCCAACCTCACTCTCCAGTCCCTGCCTCAGCTCCGCGTCCCCTCTTCGTCTCCAACGACCAAGACCCATCCAGCTGGGAAATCTGCCCCCTATACTGCTCGTTCGCAGCCCCCCCCCCTCCGTCTACCAGAACCTCTCTCTCGAAGAATCCTCACGTCCACCAGAGAACTGTTCTCAGGCTGCTCTGCATCTATCTCTCTTGATGAATTCCGGACGAGCCAGCTACACATACGCAATGTGTATCCATCGACAGTCTAAAACTCCAGCCTAACCCGAAACATCGCGTTCCCGCCTACGGTATACGGTATCACCCGCTGTTTGACCATCCCCATCCCAACAAAGGAGTAGTCGGCGGAGGGAGATGTGGCTAAATCGTAATCGCCAGCAAGCCCGGCTGCCCATTTGCTTCTTCTCGCCCTCAAGCATCTACCTACATCCCGGCATCCTCCGCCTTCCCAGCCCTCCGAGGTGCAACGCCCTCGAGCCAACATCGCACACTGCACGTAGCAGGCAGAGCATAGCATCAACAAACACTGTCTCGGCCCTACTCGCGCACTCGGTAAATCGAGCGAAAACACCACTCCGCTTCATCCTAGACTGTACAGGATATCAAGAAAGGCAATCGACCAGTTTCTCTATCCTGTTTTACCCCCCCGCGTTGTACCCGCCCAGCCCCTTCGTGCGTGGTTTTCCGTGTTTGGATGATTGAAAACTCAGCGTGTACATACGAGGGGGTTCCACTGATGTGTTGGTTATCTTGCTTCTTTGTACCTTGCTGACTCTGTTCTTGTGCGATACAAGCATATATATGTGTATGTATGTATATATATATATATATATATATATACGACCAGGTTCTCATCCGAGTACATATACGGGCGGTAACAAATCGTCACTAATCACCGCTACTCGCTGCTGTCAACGCGTGCTTGACCCCTTCGGTACTTGATATCAACGATATGTAATTCTTGAATCGTCTCTGCCTGGCGTGTTTCGGCTTGACTACCGTCGCTAATCGAGAGCCGCTGGACTAGACCTGATGCAGATCGACCTTCAGAACGCAAGCTTGGTGTCGATGTGAATAGAGTGTGTGTTCGGATCCGTGGCCGCCATATATTCGTCATCTAGCCGTGCAGGTCAGATAGCTCTACCATTCAAGTATATTCTTATCCTATCCTGCCGTAGTCACAACAGCGAGTTGGTCTCCTGCGAAGCACCGTCCCGATTATGAATTCAAAGTTTTCGAAGTGCTTGTCTTGCTTGCTTCGCTAAATATGTACTGCTTGCATCGCTAAGCCCAGCAAGCTTTCGACGCTCAGCGGCTGACGCTTCACTTTTCCAACAGACCCATCAAGCGCTTAAAACATCCCGGAGTGGCATCCCCAGGTCCAGGGAGGGGCACAGGCCCGAAACCAATGCCCGTCCTCCCGCTCTTCGCCTCGTCGTGTTGGCTCTTGCTCGCCGCTCTCCTCATTCCCCACCAGTTCATCAGATACCATCGAAACTTCGGATCCTCCGAGACCAGGCATTGGCCCCCCCACGAGATATCCATGAAGTATCTATGCGTGCACTCTGCCCGCGTCACCCAGCGGTACTTCAGTCGCTGATTCTCCGAGCGCAACCCCACCGCCCCCTGGTGCTCGTCGCTGACCTGAACCTCAAAGTCATACCTCGAGACCGTCGCGCTCGGATACACCGGACATGTGTTGACCCTTCGCGGTTCGCCTATGGGCGGCATGATGCGGGTGACTTTCAGCCCGGTCAGCTCCCAGACGATACGGACGAGGCCGTGAAGAGCGGTCTCGTCGGTGACCTTGGTGGCCGCGCCAGGAACGTCCCATCTATAGGGCGATTTTGCTTTTGCGAAGTGGGCTGGTCAGTCACGGTTCCGTCTCTCATTTTCTCTGGAGAACAGGATCAAATATATTTAGGGGTGCTTTAGGACAGTTGCAGATAAGAGATGGCAGGCTGCTCCTTCACCTACTATCAGCAGGTTGGACGAGGAGGAGTTTGTTGTCCGAAGACAGGATGACAGCGCCGACATGGATGCACTCCGGCCCGGCTATCGAGTCTTGAAAAGTTGGATCGGCGAATTCCTCCAGGCTGGAATCGTAGGTGATTTCCGAAGGTATGGATGAGTTTGATGAGGATGCTGAATGGATCGACGCTGATGGCAACGGTGGTGCAGAACAAAACGATTGCGTTGAACTGGACGGTGATGAAAATAATCGTTTCGATGCTGAATTCCCCATAGCTATGACTGTCCGAGATATCCGGGAATGATAGGATAATAGTATACTGATGATCAGATCTTGGTATTAGTAATATTGATGTGGTGAAGAGATACAAAATGATTGACAAGCGGAGGAGCTCGTCGCTTTGCCTATGCTAATTAGCAGCCATTTCTCCTGGGTGGCAGTTGCTTCTGATGAGGATCATACTGAGAGGGCGGATGCTGGGGCCCTGGGATGCGGTGTGCCTTCCTCTTCGGGAGGTCATTTCATGAATCTCGGAACAACGGTCGATTGATTTCCGGCTGGCGAGGAAAGCTCAAGGAGCCCTAAATCAGCCTATGTTTTTAACCTCGCAGCTTGGTTTCGATGTAATAGCAAGGTAAACAGACAGGGAGCTGAGTAAAACTCCCTGGAAGACACGGACGGTATGGTGACAATTGTTGTTAACAGTCCAAATTCAACACTAATATTGATTTATGCTTTTTTTTTTCACAGGAAACAAGTTTTTGAACTCTAGAGGAAGGTATGTCCACGGTTCATGATGCGAAATTAATGAAGCTGATTCTTGGCTATATTATTTATATATATATATTTGGAGGGAGACAGAGTACACTTCCGCTCCATCTCGGAATAAACATTTGTAAACCATCGATTCGCCAGTTTTTGATTTACCTAGGCAGAAGCAGGCTTGCACCAAACCATCAAGTGTCTCCCAGGATAATACGGCGTGAAGCAGTCTCTCCACTTCAAGTCCTCCTCCGTTTTACCATCAAGGCTCATCTCAAAGCGTCTCAACATAGTAGCGAAGGCAATGTACAGCTCACACCATGCCAAGTTGACTCCAAAACAGCTTCGTGGTCCCCGACTGAACGCCACGAGATTTTTATCCAGGTTCTTAGTATCGGTAGCAAGCCAGCGGCATGGATCGAATGTCGATGGCGAGGCGAAAATTGCATCGGATTGATGGACGAAAGGGGCGGCCATGCCAACGACGGTGCCGCCTGGGATTGATACCCCTGAGATGTTTGCGCCCTTGGTCGGAACGACTCGGAGCAGTGGCGAAGAGACTCCGGGTGATACGCGGAGCGATTCTTTGATGGTGGCTGTCAGGAGGGGGAGGGTTTCGAAGGCCTCGAAGGAAGGTGGGCGATCGATGTTTGGCCAAACAGTCAGAACTTCGGCTCGGAGCTTCTCGTATAGAGTATGCTGATTCAGGATGTGGAAATGGCCGGTCATGAGGCTATCGGCCACGGTCAGACCACCAGCGAATACCATCGTCAGGGCCTCTTCACACAGGTACGTTGCACTTGGGACGGGAAAGCCTCTGTGTGCCCCTGGATCCAAGAGTCGGTGGTAGATGGTTGGGTGAGGTGCGTCTTGGAGGCTGGATGGGTCGCTTACCACATCCCGGACTTGCTTGCCGATGATTTCTTGAAGATGTATCAGACCGGCGGTCTTCGGTGATGCTCTGACAGCCAACCAAGGCGGAAGGGAAAGCAGTGTCTTGCGGAATAGTGGAAAGTTCTTGAAGATGAAGAAGGTCGGGAGGGCTGCATCCATGGCTGTCACGAGAGGAGCCCGGAAATCGGCTTCCTCCATGGCGTGGACAGATTTCCCAAAGCAGAACTCTTGCACAGTGTCGACTGTGAAACATCGGAAGGCGAATAAGAGGTCTGCTGATTTGCCGGATGCATTGTTCTTCTCGAGGAGCTCGGTAAGTTGATCAACCTAGTCGAGTCAGTATTCTGGATTGGCCAGTGTCTGTTTCTAAGTACTCGCATTTCGTCTGACGAGGCCCTGCAAGTTAAGGATGGCTCTGCGAGAAAAGAGAGGCTGGAGCACGTCTTTCCTTTGCTTCGATTCAGCGTAGGTCAGAAGCCCGAAGGAGGAATGGTCTTCACCGAAAGACTCGTATAGTAGCCGATCCTTGTCCCATCTTGCGGAGGCGTTGTAGATGTCATGGTATGCTGAAGGATTGGAGAAGTGAAGCTGTCACAGCAGTCAGTCAGTAAATGCATTCGCGGAGCTTTACCCAGCATCGACTCGTACCTCGTTTGGTGCTATACGAATTACATCACCTGGCTCTATCAGTTCAAGCTCTGGCAGAGTGAAGAAACCTGGATACTCACCATACTGCTTGTGTAACCGTGCCAGAACATCAGTCATTGATTCCTGAGTAACGACCTCGACGTAGGTCTTCCACTAGGACGTAGCCCTCGCAGCCAGCGGTCCTGGAAAGTTGCGCAAGGGGTGAAAGAACACATTGTAGGCCAGGATGCCGAGTTTCAGGGAAAGCGACGACAGGAGCACCGTCCACAAGGCGAGACCGGTTGAGACAGCCATGTCTCTCGTCGCTAACCACACAGCAACTAATGGTATCACAGGGGTTGTGATGCAATGCAAGTACTGGATACGTATTCTTTGGTATGAGTGTAATCGGTTAGTTTTGCATACCTCTGACTGAGTGGAAAGGTAGCTAGCTACCTATATAACTCCTGAGGGACGAACGGAGTTGCAAACAGACAACCACATGGTCTGACCTTAGTAGGTCGCTTGTGCTGTGCTACCACACCTATGGTCTGACATGCTGCTCGCACAGCAGCCAATCTCGCTTAGCTCTATTGGCGTTCACGTGTTTGCAATTCCAAGTCCAAGTTACAAAGGTTACCAAAGTTACTGAAGTTTCACAACGTTCCAGCGCTCTTGCAACGTTCAGTTCCAACCGCAATAGTGCGGGTACAAGGACACCGTATGGCCGTTGTGGGTGTACAGAGAGTTGTGAAAAGCCGCGAGGATGTTCAGGGGTAAAAGAATCGCATTGGGATCAAGGTAAGGTAAGATACTGAATAATGGCAGAATGCTTGCTGCTACGCTAGTAGAGGCAGGCATCCGCGTTGAATGAATGGATCTAAAAAGGCATTATGTGGTACAATCGGCGGTACATAAGTATCTGGTTTCAAGTAAACAAGTGTGCTGCTCGCGGTTACGATGCTGATTCAAGATTCAGGTAGGAATTCGGGAGTCCGAGTTGTGACTGTCGGATGATCACTTGCTCTTGGCGCTAGATGTGCTATTCTATAAGCCAGAACGTTCGGTCTCATAGATCTGTTATCGGAAGCAATATCACCAGGAACAGCATCGCTCCACGAAACATTACGACGTGCCAGTTCATTGTCGCTGGTGTAACTTTCTGAGTCGTGGGGAAGAATGCACATCGCCAGACCACGAGGATGAAGCACACGGCACAAGTGTTGACAGAGATACCCGCATGGCTGAGGGACCACTGCATCAACGCTGGTCCGGCGGTGGAATAATATATCGGGAATCTAAAACTGTGTCTGGGGACTTTCTCCCCCCAGAGATGTCTTGAGGGAGCCGAGTCGCTGAATATGGGAGGTAACAGCTGAGTATATTGCACATACACGGCGTAACGGCATAGGATCATGACGAAGGCGGCGGAAGATCAGAGAAAGGAGGCTTCCCATGAAGGACACTCCTTGCGGGTTCCTATTATCCCAGATTCATATACTCGGTGAACAAAGCCTTTAGCGAATTTCTGGGGGCCAAGCCTCACGCCAAGATCCACAGTAAAACGTAAGCGTCGAAAAAGCCGAGCACGTAAATTAGCAACAACAAGCCCCTTCACCGGTGGAAGACACTAATTAGCGAGGACGGTGATGAAGCAGATGCAGAATCCAACGATAACAATCACAAGAAGGGTTCCATGCCACCTCTCGAAGACATCCCCGTCGATGTTGAGGACAAACAGAACTTGGATCATGGTCTCTACCAGGAAGGTCAACGCGGCGAGGCGAGACCAGTCTGCCATCCCAGAGCAGCAGCAGCCTGTCTACTTTCAGTGGATAGCGCACGTGCCCGACGCATATTGACTTGCCGACAAGGGAGCTACGGAGCTTCTGGTAGCTGCGAGGCACAAGCTGCGAGACCCATGATGCTGACCACCACTCGGCGGAGCCTTGTGTGTTCGAGCCAATCGACAATTTTATACTTGCAATACGTGGTGTCTTACATGGGAGCCATCTCAGCGATGCTCGCGGACACAAACGTGTAACCTGCTCAAACAACCAGGTGGGTACCCCTATGATAAACCTGCACTACCTCCGTTGAAGAGACCAAAGAAGCGCGTCCTGTTCGTTTCTGCCAGGACATTTTCCCAGAATTCTCCGATTCGCTTGTGCCCACATCAAGGCGATTCCCCACGTGCTCATTGACAACGTGCAAGCAAAGCCCAGAGTAGAGATGGAACGGAAGTTGCGCTATGCCGGCAGTTGAGTTGGCTCTGATTCGATCTGGTGTGTGTCACGGTAGCACTAGGTCACACGTTGAGCTGTTGTGTTTTGCCCAGCCTCCGCATCTCCTCATCTCGTCTTTCTGCGTACCTCCATGGGGAAGGGAGAGTGGTTCGAAGCCGTCGTGGAGGGGCTCATAGCGCCTATTGCGAATTGCATGATTTTCGCTCTTGCGGTGTTCGAGATCCATGATGGGCTGACTGGTTTGTTGACGTGGTCATCCAAGAATGCTCATGAGAGTATGGACACAGCTAGTACTCAGACCGGCAGGTCGGCGACCCGGCGAAATGGTTTCGCACCGAGGACAAGATCGAAAATGAGAAATGTGAGAGAATGCAACATGTAGGAAAGGTCAAAGTTGAGAGCCATGAAAACAGCTGGCGCAAAAGTACGCGGGTGGTTGCATCGAAAGAGACTGACCTGCCGACTCCAAAGGCAGCCAAAGCCGGCCTCGCTTCACCCTGTGTGCCTAAGCAGTGTTTCCGTACCACCTAGCGTTTGAATTCACCTCGAGGATATCATGTTGCCCAACGCTATGAGTAATCACCTAGATTCGATCCATCCCCGAGTGCTCTTCAACGACCTTGGCAACTCGCAAACCCACCTCCAAGTCAGAGTGTACTGCTCAGTTCGGGCAGCGTGATACCAAAACGTCCTCTCACGTGTTCTGCTCCGCCATACCTCAGAGCCATACCTTGAGAATTTGAAATCCACGAGTCTGCACTCACGTCTCAAATCCACGGTCCCAACCCCAAGATCACATTTGGGTGTCTCCGGGCTCTCATCACGCTCAAGGGTCTAGAGGATCTCAGGAAGCTGGCAAAAGCCAGCTATGGCTTTTAATGGGAGCAGAGAGCTTCTCCCCGGACGGTCGGCTCCACTGGCTATCGTCTCTGCTTCAGACCAAGGTGGTGTTGTGGTGCTAGCAGCGGCGCTAGGCCTGGCGCTTGCTCTCGTCTCAATCCTCATCCGTGTTTCCATCTCAAGAGGAATTCGATCGGCAGCCGACTTTGCCGCCGCGACCGCCATGGTAAGCTTTCTCTCGTGCGATCTCGGCTTCGCTCCTGGCTGCTGACAGACTGCAATCCAGGTGTTCTCGGTTCTGCAAGCAAGCGCGGTCTTTTTCTCCGTCTCCCACGGATTCGGCAAAGCCATCGACGACATCCCCTTCAGCTCCTGGGTGCAGGCGGAGATGGTAAGTCCCCTTTCCGCTGGCTCCATCTTGGTTTGGGAAAGTTAGCTCATGAGATAGGCAATCTACATCAGCGAGATTCTATACCTCGTCACCCTCTGGACGACCAAGTGCTCGGTGGCGCTGTTGTTTACCCTGCTATCACCTGACAGAGGTCACAAGATAGCTTCAAACGCCATCCTGGCCGTATCCACGCTGTTCATGATAATCTCGGTCCTGATGGTTGCGGTTCGCTGCGATATTGCCCACCCGTACCTGGTTTCGCGGCAGGCATGTCCTAACTTGGTAAGTTATTCATGATCCCACCCAACCACCCACCCACCTACTCTGCTAGAACGTTTCCTGATATATACATGTACATGACTGTAGTTCTCTCGCTGGCAAGCCATTGCAGGCATGGACATCACCACCGAGATATGCCTCTTCTCAATCTCCACCTCCATGATCAGCAGCCTGCGGCTCTCCCTCAAAAAGAAGGCGATGGTCGATTTCGCCTTTGGGTTGCGCCTCCTGTAAGTCCCTCCTTACCTCCTCCGGCCGCCTGCGCCTCCACAATCACCTTGCCAATCTCTGCCGGCACAGGATCATCGTCCCCGCGATACTCCACCTCGTCAGCATCCCGGCCGCCCTCAACTCCCCGGACTCAAATACCAAGGGCGTCTTGACCGTCACCTACATGCAGATCGAGCTCAGCGGCGCCATCATCGCAGCCACCGCGCCCTGCCTGCGCCCGTTCACGAGAGCCTTGCGTGCGCATCACAGGGCGCCTGCATCGGCGCGGAAGTCGAGCCCGGGTAACAGCGGCTGCGGGATGCGCACCTGGTTGCCTCCGGATCCGGATCGGGGCAAACGCGCGAGGGGGGATCCACGTCGGCTGACTCCCTCAGAGAGACGAGGCCGGGAGGGAAGCAGTTGGATGCAGTGCCCGGCCACGCGGTGGGATCACACGGAGCATCATGCCGTTGTGGTCGCCGGACACGAACGCGGCTGCCGCGCGGCGCCGCGCTCGGAATGTGGCCGGATGGTTATCGAGAAGGAGAGTCGGTGGGCGGTTGACTTTGAGACGAGTGAGATGGGGGGTGCGGAGAAAGATGATGGCCGGGATAGGCGGCTGTCTCTCCCGCTGTGATTTTTGCTGTCTGTAGGATTCTGTATGTATGATATCGGGCTGCCACCAGGTTCTTCACGAACTTCTGTGTATCTCAATACATAAATGGAGAGGCCTCGGTAGAGATTGAGATTCTTGGACGTTGTGCACCGCTAATGCCGATGTTGTTTTTGGGTATCGATCTCGGTTCCGGCTGGCTCGGCGAAGAAGCCTTCTCCGATATGCTCTCCGTTTGAACCCGACACCGCAGAGGTTTCAACCTCTGCTAACCTTCCAGACACTTCTCTCGAATTTTTCTCTTCCTTCTGCATCCACCGAGAATCCCATCCCAGTCCCCACACACACATATATGTATATGCAGAGCAAAACACACGCGGGATGACCAGCAACCTGGGGATCCAGAGAGACAGAGACTAGGAAGCCCTCTCCCTCTCGAGAAGACTTGTATTTGCGTTAAAAAAAAAGGTCGAGGTTCCAAGACCGTGATGACCGACTCATCCGTCATCCCATCACCAGCTACGTAAGCTGAGGTACCCACGTGATGCCCAAGTACAAGACAAGACCGGTCATCTCTATACGTATGAAAAAATGTAAATCTCTGAGGCTGTGCTGTCTTCTCTTCTCTCCTTGTGCGACGGATGGACGCGTTCAGTTGAACGGGGCAGGTATCCTTCTCACTTCAGTTGACTGTCGCGGCTTGCATAGATAAGGTAGATAGGCTTGTGGATATCTAGCTGACGGAATACCGCTTTCGCTGCTGACCGCGTCGCCAGTCGGTTGGATACGGCGTGCGCTTGGAAATGCGGAGGTGGTTCTGCGGGATATAGTGGAGAGTTTTGCGAAGGAGAAGCAGAATGGATTGTTTCAGTGCCGGGCCCAGACTTTGGTGTGGTGACGGGAGGTCTGCCCACGTCGATAGTTAAGCGAGCGGAGGCACGTCTACCGGTACGTCTACCGACGTTGAACGCTTGGACCGCGGGGCAGGATATTGGTGCTCGTCAAGAGAAATTGTTCGTTGATATAGAGCTGATAGATGTGCGATGTATAGTTAGTATATTTGTTCTTATTTATATATATATATGTATGTATACATATATACATATATACGCAGTATATATATAAATATCTTAATCTAAAAAAGTTCTCCCTAACCGGACCTGCCGACAACTAGTCCCCATCCTGCCGGTTTCAGACAGACGAGGGTGAAGATTCGCGGGTCTCGATGGGTGGGCAACCCGCTCGTGAACCCGGCTGCTTTTCCGGCTTTTTTCACCTGTGCCTCTCGCTGACCAGAGGTCTCCCACCGGCACGGAGGGTCGATTTCAGAACTGTTTCCGACAGATAAGACGTCTCCCTGCGTACGCTCACCAGCAAAAACAGGACCCCTCCGCAAGCAGGAGCCCACCCGTGTGCGAGGCGACGAAAAAGTCTATATACTACTTTCTTGGTGCCAGTCCAGGAGGAAGTCAAGACGTCTGCCGTGATCGAGATGGATGCTTCCTTCCACGAACTCTCTAGGGTCCCGGTACGTACTACCTACGTACTACGTACTACGTAGCTCGTCCAATCTCGAATTACGTAGCAGTAATATCGAGCCAGCCAGCAAATTTCCAAGAGAAATTAGCGATCTATATTCTATTCTATCCTGCGTATTCTATTTTATTCTATAAATAGTGTTCGGTACTGCTACGCACCGCTCCCGTACCGTACCGTACCGTACCGTACATGCAGAGGATTTCGAGGTGTACGTACGGACACCCAGCCCGTCGCTCCTTCCTGCCAACCCCCCAAACTCGTCAGCAGTCACGTACTGACGACGTACTACGTACTTACCGACTACTACTTATCGAAGCGTCAGCCCAGCTCCAGCGCCCGAATGCGGGGTTCCCGCGCTGCAATCCGCAAGCAGCTAGCCTACCCGCCAAGCGAGCGTCGAGCCAGGATCCCCCGCGGCGGGCAGATCTGAAGATGAACGACTTCTCGCCTGCATCGCCTGCATCGCCAGATCCCCGGTGGGGGCGTGATGATCGCATGCATGGGAAGGGATACTCTAACCTCTAAGTAACTTTCTCCCTAGACCTTCAAAGGCTCAAGCTGCTCTAGTTGCTCCAAGCTGCAAGCACGAGATGCTAGGGGGGAGATGGCGTGGCATGGAATAGCGTGTCAGCATATGCCTGTACATCTTCGCCAAGGAGACAGACGAGGACGCTTGATTGGTGCCGCATCACTTGGGGACCTGGGCAGTGAGTAAGATGAGTAATACAACTTGGATATGTAATATACTCTGTATACTTACGTAGTATGTACTAAGCACGAGCTGAGCGTAAGAGACGAAGACAACAATAGATCAAGGAAAAAGCCTAAACGGAAGGTACAAACAAGGGAGTCTAGTCTGAGTAGTCTCACTTCCCTAGCCTGCAGGCGGGGGACCAACGACCTTATATTCCTTCTTCCCCTCCCACCCCGTTCCATCCTTCCCTCCATCCATCCCATTCAAGTTCAACCTCCCCCTCCATCTCCAACAACTCCCCCTCCCCCTCTCTCGTCCACGCTCAACAATTTGCAAGCACGACAACCTGCATCCATCGCTGACCCCGTCCGTATCTTGATCCTTGACCCTCGACCCTCGATCCTCGACCCGGACCCAGTCTTCATTCATCATGCAACTCAAGCACCTCCTGCCCGGCGCGCTCGCAGCCGTCGCCGCAGCTGACAGCCTGATCGAAGTCCTCGCTGAACAGAACTCCACCCTCTCTTCCCTCAATGGCACGTATTCCATCTCCCTCCCCCGCTACCGCTCTCCCTTCCACTACCGCAACCCCACCTAACACTTCCCAGCTCTCCTCGCTACGCAGCCCAACCTCGTGAACACTCTCGGCTCCGCACAAAACATCACCATTCTCGCGCCCAGCAACGACGCCCTCGACGCTTTCTTGAAATCCCCGGAGGGAGCTTCCGCTGCGGCCAGGCCTGATCTTGTCGGCGCCTTGCTCACCTACCACGTCCTGAATGGCACCTACAAGGCTTCGGCGTTCACGAACACGCCTCAGTTCTTGCCGACGCTGCTAACGAACTCGAGCTTTGCGAATGTGACGGGCGGACAGGTCGTCGACGCGAGGTTGAGAGGGATTACTGCGAGTATCTTTTCGGGGCTCTTATCAGATAGCAATGTCACCACGGCTGTAAGTTCTGTCGCTCAGCATGGCGATCCTTTCGGGTGCTACGCGCCCTCTTCCCGCCTCACGACCTTCCACCTTTCTCTTCTCCCACCTGTCTCACCCCTAGCTAACATCCCCAGGACGTCGAATTCGACGGCGGCGTCATCCACGTCATCAATGGCCTCCTCACCATCCCCCTCCCCGCCTCCGAAACCGCCACCACGCTGGAGCTGACCTCTCTCGCCGCTGCCCTTACCGCCACCAACCTCGTCTCGACCGTCGACAGCCTCTCCGACGTCACGATCTTTGCGCCCTCCAACGAGGCATTTTCCGCCGTATCCGGCAACCTGTCCACCGACGTCGTCTCGTCAATCCTGACGTACCACGTTGTGCAAGGCACCGTCGGCTACAGCAGCCTCCTCAGCAACACCACCCTTCCGACTGTCAACGGCGCCAACCTGACCATCACGGTCGTCGACGGTGCCGTGTTCGTCAACTCGGCGAGAGTTACCATTTCCGACGTGCTGATTGCCGGTGGCGTGGTGCACGTCATTGACAGGTGAGCTTTCCCCTACCCTCGTGGCCCTTCTTCCCCATGGTTGCTATGATCTCCTGTCTTGTTCCCCTTTCCACTCCCACGTCGCTAACGCGCCTCCCCTCAGCGTCCTGAACCCCAACAACACCAGCGTCGATTTGTCGTCGGCCCCGTCTCCGACCAACCCCCCGGCCACGGTCACCGGAGGCGCCGGCTCGATGCAGGCGGGCGCTCTCGGCATGGGGCTCCTGTTCGGCGCCGCCGCTGCTGTGGCCTTGATGGGAAACTTGTAGATGGGCTGTACCTGGACGCCAATATCATGAGATAATGGAAGGGTTGAGCATCGGATAGAGAAGAAAGACACACGTGATGAGAAAGATGGCCTGGTCCAGGCTTTGGCCTCTGGATGGATGACTGAAATGACGAGCGGGAGTATGTCGGTCTGTATACGGAGTCACTAATGTTCGGCTGCTGCATTAATATCAATTTATGGGTTACCTCTCTGCTCTCATGGTTTTGCCCCCTGAAATCTCGATACTTTCATGTTGACATGCATCTGATGGGATTGAAAAGGTGGTGCGTCGGCAAAGACGCATCTCGAGTTGGACATCCCATCTTTCCGAGCTCGTGAAAGCGGGATCGATTAAAGCGTCATGAGGCCATAAGGCAGAAACAGGCATACACGCATAACACAGCCTCCTTCGCCACTTCTTCCGCCACCTTTTCCGCCACCTCTCTCGCCACTTTTCCCGCTACTTCTTTTGCCGTTTGACTTAAAGCAAATTCAACGAAATGAAAACTATTTTTAGCTTTTTATAATACCAAGCACGTGCGCTCGACTTCTTTTACGTTACTTTTATTTTTATTTATTTAATTTAGCTGATTATAAGCTATTTTAGCTTTTTATCGATAACGTGTATTAATTTCGAAATAAACTACTACTTATATTGAAAAAGCTTTACGTTTATTGTTACGTCACGTGTTGATTCGAGCATGCACGTAAGGCTCTTCAAACTTCCGCTTTTAACTTTCTTTTTGTTACTATACGGTGCTAGCAAGCAGGCCTTGGTTAAAAGAATAAAGGATTAGTTAGCCGAAGCTAGCGGCCGCTTAACGAGCCTCGCACGTGATATTCGAATCAAATCAATCACGAGCGAAACTTTAAATTCGATTCGAACTCGAATTTTTATATAAAGTATCGGAGTTTAGCGACTTAGCCGATTCTATGAGCGCGTTTGTTAGTCAATCGTTTACGGAGTAGTAATGCAGGAATGATGTAGGCTATACCCGGTTGAGATTAGCTCCGTCGGAGGTTCGGCGTCCGAGTGGCTGTCTAATGCGTGTGTGCCTGTTTCTGCCTTATGGCCTCATGACGCTTTAATCGATCCCGTGAAAGCGGTATAAACTACTACTGTTTACGTAATCAGGGCAGGGTACCTCCTCCGCACTCGGGACAATCAAGATGATCGCTATCGCTATCGATATTGATCTTGCTTGAATTTGGACGGGGATTTGCGTCCGGCAGGGATCAGTCTATCCCCGTGGGGAGCGGGCCATCTTTTGCTGATTGTACGTCGTAGTTGTCGAAGGAGTAGGAAAGCGGCGATATGCAGCGGAATGATTTTGCACTTTGTTTTGTTTTTGAGAAGGTGGATGGATGGGGGGGGTGGTGGTAACCTGCTGGATCTGGGTCAGGTGTGTTTTTTTTGCTGCCCTGGTTTGTTGATATCTGTTTTTTTTCCCTCTGTCAAGAAGGTAGGGAGAGATGAGATGGGATGGTTTACGGAAAGGGAATGTTGATGATGATGAAGATGATGATGGTGAAGATGATATACGGGAGTGCAACACAATGTCTTGTAAGCCGAGCTCGGCGCTGGAAGATTTTCGTGGGGAGGGGAGGAGGAGGAGAGGGGAGTGGGGAGTGGGGAGTGGGGGGGGAGGAGGGGGCTACGTATCCTTGTCTTGCTTTCAGTTTGCCCAGTCTACGCACTAAGTACTGTACGGTAGGTTGTATTGTACTACTAATCGTCGGCTCGCTTAGGTGGGCCTCCTTTCATCCTTTCAGTCTTAGTCGGCATAAGCGATTGCGGATCGGAAGCGAATGCGGATTTTTCTTTTATTACTAGTTATTATATACAAAATACAACTTAAAATATTACTTTTTAATTCACAATCGTATAATTCAATTGTATTTTATTAATTATAAGCCGAAAACGCGTTTATATACCGATAGTTTGATATTTTAAATCGATGAAAAGCTTGCTGTTAAGCAGCAAGCTGAATTTTTTTCTGAATTTAGTGCAAAATAATAATGAATCACC